TGGGGAGCGTTTGGGGAACATCTGTAACGGTCCCCGTTACAATTAGCACTAGTTATTATTTTTTTTCTTATTTCTTCTCCGGTACTTTTTTTGTCCGCAAGTGTTCTCAGTAACTGTTCACCCAACTGAGCTAAAACCTTTTTAGGGTTAATAGGTGTGTAGTGTAGGTGTGCGGAACGAAGGTCATTTTGCGCGCATACGCCTGCACGTGCGTGCGCGTGAAATGAGTGAATTGACTGATATACTTAATATAGCTATAACTTTTACATTTTTTGATGAAATGATTTGAAACTCATTATATAAAGATATATTAATACTGTAGATAATGTGACACTGTCAAATTAGCATGAACTCACGCGCATGCACGTGCGCTTCACTCTGATTGGCTGAAACAAAAATCTCAATATCTTTTCTGTTTTTTTACAAAATGCTATGAAATTTACAACATAGGCATACTTGAGGATTTACTACAGTATGACGTATAACAATTGTCATGTAAACACGTGCATGCACGTGCGCTGCAATCTGATTGGCTAAAACTTTAAATGGCTATAACTCCCTTGTTTTTCAACCAAACAGAATGGGATTTGGAACATAGATAGATATAATGGACTTCTACAAGAAGGTATGGTCACCATGCACACTCATACGCGTGCGTGTACGTGCGCTGCAATCTGATTGGCTGAAACTTTAAATAGCTATAACTCCCTTAGTTTTCAACCAAACACGATGAGATTTGGAACATAGATAGATATAATGGACTTCTTCAAGAAGGTATGATCACCATGCACATCCATACACATGCGTGAACGTACGCTGCAATCTGATTGGCTGAAACTTTAATCAGCTATAACTCCCTCGGTTTTCAACCAAACTGAGTGGGATTTAGAACATAGATAGATGTAATGAACTTCCACAAGTAGGTATGTCACCATGCTCATGTATGCACGTGCATGCACGTGGAATGAGTAAAATCAAAAATACACTTGAATGAGCGTATTTTTTAATACTTTTGGATTAAATATTTTAATATTTAGGATATTAAAGTATATAGATTGTGTAGATAAGATGATATGGTCATTACGCACACGCATTCACATGCTCACGCGTGCAATGCTAAAATTTGAATGAACTTGGTACCCTTCTGGGTAAACGTTGTTAAAGTCTCAAATGCATAAAGTTTGTCTTATTTAATGAAGCTTACAGGGAATATGGCACCAAAAGGGAGATGGGGAGCGTTTGGGGAACATCTGTAACGGTCCCCGTTACAATTAGCACTAGTTATTAAGGTCTTCCGTCTTCAGCGGAAGACCTTATTGTTTTTCTTAGGTTTCTTTTCCACTATTTTTATTATTGTTTTTTTTTCTTACCGATTTTGTGCGCGCGATTTCTCGAGAACGACTTGATCGATTTTCATGAAACTTTCAGGTCTGATAGAACATCAAAAAATCTAGATATATATTTTTTTATTTTGATGACGTCACTTCCGGTTCGGAGTTTTCTGCGATTTAGTGATTTTTAGAGGGTCACTTTGTCCGGCAGTTTTCTCAAAAAGCACTTAACACAGAAGCTTGAAATTTTCAGTGATGCTAGAGCAACTTTTGGAGAAGTGCACTAAGTATATCACAACTACCGGAAGTACGAAGCGCCGACGCTCGCTATGGCCCGAAAATAGTCCTATGAAGAATTTCAATATCTTAAGCACTTTTTCAACGATAACTTTTTACCTAGAAATATTTTGTTAAAGCATGTAGACAAAAAAGGTGTAGAATTTCAAGATCTTTCAAATGACATCTAAAAAAAGGGCTGGCCCCTTAAATCAGGGGCCTGGAGGGGCCGAAAGTTTTTCCTTTATATCTCAAAAAGTATTGAGAATTTGTGGTACATCAAAGAAGCAAAATTGTTCAAAATGTCAAGATTAATTTATTGAAGTCGTCAAAATACGTCCGGCGTCGTCACTTCCGGTCAAACCGGAAGTAGTCGGAAAACGCGTATTTTTGCCGTTTTTGACAAGTTTTTTGGTAACATATGTCTCTGGGAGCATTATAATTAATTTTCCGTCCGTCGTCGTCACTTCCGGTCAAACCGGAAGTAACAGAAAATGGCTTATTTTTGCAATAATTAACATGGATTTAGAGGAATCAAACCATTTTTGGACGTTATTTCTCATTTCTGTTAAAAATGAAAGTCACTTCCGGTCAAACATGACGGAAGACCTACTCGTTGCTTTGCAACGAGCTTTGCTCTAGTTATTATTATTATTATTCTTTTTTTTCTTACCGATTTTGTGCACGCGATTTCTCGGAAACGGCTCGATGGATTTCCATGAAACTTTCAGGACTTATGTAACATTACTTGAACCTTATGCATTTTTTTCCGATTTGATGACGTCACTTCCGGTTTGGAGATATGGTCGATTTTATGATTTTTGAAGGGTCAGATTGTCCTCGAACGTTCAAAAAAATGGCTATAGATAGAAACGTGAAAACTTCAGGTATGATAGTCCAAAGTCTATAGATATGTAAAATTTATTTCATTTTTATCTGAAGTGCCGCACGTCGGCGCTCGTTATGGCGCAAAAATAGTCCTATCGCGAATTTCAAAATTTTTATCACCTTTTCTACGATATCTTTTTACCTGGAAATATTTTGTTAAAGGATGTAGAACAAAAGAAGTGTAGAATTTCAAGATCTTTCAAATGATATCTCGAAAAAAGGGCTGGCCCCTAAAATTAAGGGACTAGAGGGGCCAAAAGTTTTTTCTTTATATCTCAAAAAGTATTGAGAATTTGTAATACGTTCAAGAAGCAAAGTTGTTTAAAATGTCAAGCTTAATCTATTTAAGCCATCAAAAAACGTCCGCCGTCGTCACTTCCGGCCAAACCGGAAGTAGTCAGAAAACGCGTATTTTTGCAGTTCTTGACAAGTTTTTGGGTAACATATGTCTCTGAGAGCATAAAAATTGATTTTCCGTCCGTCGTTTTCACTTCCGGTCAAACCGGAAGTAGCCAAAAATAGCTTATTTTTGCATTAATTAACATAGCTTTAGAGGAGTCGAACCATTTTTAGGCATTTTTTCTCATTTTTGTAAAAAAAAAGAGCTACTTCCGGTCAAACAGGACGGAAGACCTTCTTGTTGCTTTGCAACGAGCTTTGCTCTAGTTATTATTCTTATTCTTATTTTTCTTCCTGGGAAAATTTTGTCCGCGAGTGTTCTTGTAAACTATACATCCGACTTAGGTGAAACCTTTTTAGGGTAAGTAGGCATGTTATGTAGATTTGCGGAATCAAGGTCATTTTGCGCGCACGTGCTTGCAAGAGCGCGCACATGCAAAACTTAAAATTAACAATATAAAATGGATATAACCGTAACTTTTCTATTTTGTGACGAAATGTTTTGAAACTTATAATGTAAGGATATATTAGTAGTAAGCACAAGATGACATGGTCAAAATAGCAAGATCGCACGCGCATGCACGTGCGCTTCTCTCTGATTGGCTGAAACTAAAGTCTCAATATCTTTTTTGTTTTTTGATAAAATCATTTGAAATTTTGAACATAGTCATATATTAGGGAGATCTACAGCCTGTATTATAAGATTTATCATGAAAGCATGTGTATGCACATGTGCTTGCAAGAGCTCGCACGTGAAACACGAGAAATGTCCAATATAATTGATACAGACGTAACTATTTAAATTATTGATGAAATGCTTTGAAATTCATATTATAAGTATATATAAGAAGCATAGACAAAATGACATGGTCAAAAAAGTAAGATCTCACGCGTATGCACGTGCGCTTCGCTCTGATTGGCTGAAACTAAAGTCTCAATATCTTTCTTGTTTCTTGTCATAATCCTTTGAAATTTTGAACATATACCTACATTATGAAGATCTACAGCATGATGTATAAGAATTTTCATGAAAGCATGCGCTTCCCGTGTGCTGCAATCTGATTGGCTGAAACTTTAAATGGCTATATCTCCTTTGTTTTTTGACGAAATGCTTTGAAATTTAAAACATAATCATGCATTAGGATAGCCTACAATATGATTTAGAGAAAAAATCATGAAATCACGCGCATGCACGTGTGCTGCAATCTGATTGGCTGAAAACTTGAAATGGCTATAACTCCCTTGGTTTTCAACCAAACAGGATGGGATTTAGAACATAGATAGGTATAAAGGCCTCCTATAAGAAGGTATGGTCATCATGCACGTGCACGCACGTGCATGCATTTGGAACGAGTGAACTTAAAAAATATACTTAAATGAGTGATTTTTAATACTTTTGGACGAAATGCTTTTATATTTAGTATATTTAAATATATAGAAAGTGTAGACAAGATGATATGATCATTACGCACGTGCATTCACATGGGCACGCGTACAATGTTAAAATTTGAATATAATTAATATCCTTCTTGGAAAACGTTGTTAAAGTCAAAAATGCACAGATATTGTCTTATTTAATAAGGCGTACAGGGAATTTGGCACCAAAAGGGAGTTGGGGAGCGTTTGGGGAACATCTGTAACGGTTCCCGTTACAATTAGCACTAGTTTAAAATAAAATACTGTTTATATCATGATATTATCACCGACTATGCACATTTTAATTTGATTTTGGTTAAATTAAGACGTATAATTAGACATTTTTCAGTGATCCTTCCCGGATCATTGTTATGCAATACATGAGGATATTAGTAAGAGACTTTTCATTACAAATATACCGCATTTTACCCGTTTGTCATCATGACAATGAGTGTACATGTACTATATAGTATATGCCATAAAGTGTGGCGATTTATCACACATACAGGTTTATGTTTAAAATTAAAATTTACCTTAAATTATCTTCGGCTTTCTGTCCGATTCTGGTTCTCGGACTGAAACAGAACGCAGAGCATAAAGTAAACTGAAATTCTTGAAGAAACATTTTTTTAACCTTGAGAAAAGATACTAGCTTTATATGCTTTGCTTCTTTCATCTTGAATATTTTATTGCAGTACCTTTCTCTTTTTGTTGGTTATCAATTGTGCTGATGGTTTTGGTTCGTTTCGAGATAAAATTCCAAATGGTCGAAATGTACCCCATCCTTGTGATCCGACAACAATATGGCAAGGTGTGGGACACGAGGCACGGGGAGGAGGAGGCCAACGAAATCCATTCGGACTGAACTTCAACAGGGAAGGAAATGTAAGTATGAGAACTCTTAGGTTGACACATTATAGTCAGTTAAACTGCAAAGTGGTACAGCGAACTGATTTTTTTACTACTTTTTTTCTTCCCAATTTGATCATCTATTTGGCAGTTTATGTTAAAAATGAATTCAATATATCCTGTATATGGGAACTTTTTTAGGGGATACCAATCTAATTAAAACTGTATCTTTGATCCGCTCCAAATACCAGTACATCTGTACACTAATTGGAGCGGATCAAAAAATAATTTTATGAGATTTGGGAGTGATATTTTCTTCTTTTCCTACTCAAGACATGGACTTCTACACTTTGTCGTATGGATTCAGATGGCGATGGTAAGACCAATGGACAAGAATTAGGAGATCCGGATTGTGAGTGGACACCAAATAACGAACCAAAATCTGTAGTGGGCCTGTCGCATCCTGGTAAGTCTAGGAAAACTGAAAGTATTGAAGGTGGTTTATTTGATTTAAAAATGCCACGTGCATAGAAGGGGTAAAAAGGAGCATATGTTAAAAAAGATCTATATTATAAAGTTTTTAGAGGTATCCTCTCATCGAACAGAATATACGAACCAAAAACACATTTATCTTAACCTCTCATTAAAAACAGAATTTAGAAGTAAAATTTAGTAAATTTAATTGTTATTACTAGGTGTATGTGAACCTCTTGGTGACCCAAAATGCGCAGGAAAGAACAATTTTCTGCAATGTAACGACCTTTCCTTTAACTGTGATATGGAAAAAGGTTTGTAATCCAATGTATGAATGAATTTTATTCACTATTCGAAAAAATAATTAACATAATAAACTAAACTGTTCGTTAATAAAACTTAAAATATGTGAAAGTTTTTAACATGTTATTCCTGTACAATTGTTCTCTTCATTCAGATACGATTAACCAAACATTGAAATTTCCAACAACCATGGTGCCAGCAACGGAAACAAATTATTTCTGCATGACCTTTGACCTCCTAACAGATGGAGATTACCATCTTATTGCTTCAGAGCCATTGATTGACAATGCTGATGTGTTACATCACATGATTTTATACGGGTGCAAAGATACAGGTGGGTGTTTTTTTCACTTAGATTTGAAAAGTCCTTCTCTCTCCCCTCTCTCTCTCCTCTCTCTCTCTCTAATCAAATCTATCTATATTTCCATTGCAGTGAACGCGACATCTACTCCCGAGAGCTGTGGAATGGCCAAGGAAAACTGCAATGATATGATAGCGCTCTGGGCTTTAGGATTTACTGGTGAATGCCTTCATAAAGATACTGGTTTCAGGATTGGAATTAATGGAATCAAGAAAGCTACGTTAGAGGTAAAGGAACAATATACATGCACATGCTAATATTTTTTTTAATTTTTTGATAACATCTTACTGAAATTCAAAATAAACAAGAGGCAGAGGGGCCACATCGCTCACCTGAGCAACTAGCTAGGTAAAAGCAAAAATCAGTTTAGTATTGAAAAAAATTAAATATAAAAGTGGGTTCGAGAGGGTGTATTTGAACAAACTTAAATCTACATTACTTTTTATGCTTTTATATTGATGATCAATCATGGTTTTCTTGTTCTTGTGAAGAATTTTAACAATTTATCCGATGTATTCCTACATAAAACATTGATCACCCATTATGGTCCCACTCTACCCCAGGGGTCATAATTTGAACAAACTTGAATCTACACTATCCTATCCAAGGATGCTTCCATAGAAATATGAATAATCACAGCTTTGCTGTTATCGAGAAGAAGAATTTTGAATATTTTTTCTATGTTATCCTTCTTAAAACTTTGATAATCTATTATGACCCCAGGGATTATGACTTGAACAACTGGAATCTACACTACCTGAGGATGCTTTCATATTACTATGGCTTTGATGTTCTTGAGAAGAAGATTTTTGAAGATTTATTTCTTTGTATTGCTATGTAAAACTTTGATACCCCATTGTGCCCCAAACCTATCCTCGGGGGTCATGATTTGAACAAACTTGGATCTTCACTACCAGAGGATGCTTCCATATAACTATGACCAATC